ATTTCAACGTTCTCAGTCGCATCCAAAACTCTGTTTTGCTGATGCCGCATCTGTTAACGAACGAACCAGCTTGGTTAATGGACACACAGCGCCGGAACAGCGAATACCCAAACGCATCAAAATTGTAAACTTCTGGGCGCGCACACGCTTTTTTCAGCGTGCATTCATGATCTGGATGATTGTGTGGATCTGCTCTATAGTATATAATTCGGGGTATCTGGAGCAGTTGTTTAGCATGCAGAGCAACGGCACAATGACGGCACCCCTTGAACTTCAACGGCGTCTACAGGCAGGTCGGGGAGCAGTCAGCAGTTTTCTCGAGGGATGGCAAGCGGACGGGCAACGTGCCACGAGTGCGCCGAGCGGCAGCGGCTTTTCTACGCCCATAAAACCTCCGCTAGCGATCGACATAAACGAGACGGCCGAGGAAATGTTGAGACTGCGATATCCAAGCTTCGACCTAAACTATTTTCTTTCAAACTTCCACTGGTCCACGATTATGAAACAGTACAACATCTCACTAAGTGGGCACTACATTACCCTGCTGCCGACCATTCGCCTTAGTCATGCCATCACTCCAGAGTTAGCCACTCTGTTGCGGAATCCGCAGGAGCAGCTGCAACAAAATTTTCAATGGAAGGCCCTTGCCGCTGCACTTGATCCGCTAGACTTTAACGACGACGACGTGCGCCGCGAGTCTCCGATGGTTATGGCAGAGGGGTTGCCTCTGGTTCCCAAGAGCCCTATGGAAATATTCTTCGCCATCCTCTTGTGCTGCATCAGCATCTTCGTGCTTTGCTACACGATGGTGGTTTTTTATCGCTGCATCTGTACAAGGAACTATGCCGAGTGGCGCTCCAGTTGGCACGAATCCGAGGCGCCGTACAAGCAGACTGAGCAAATCCTGGAGGGAGTTCCAACGCAAATCGCCGGACACAAGCATCGCATTGAGTGTCTGGTGTCTGACGGCGCCTACATCATCAGCTGCTGCCTTAAAGGCCAAATCCGAGTGTGGGATGCACGCAGTGGAGAGCAGCTAACCAGCATCTCCCGATCGGATATTCAGATCTCTCAGCAGCGACCGGATGGGCAAACGCTGGTACGAAAGCTGGCCGTGTCACCGGTGTGGTGTCTGGATTACTTCGACAATCTCATCGCAGTAGGCTGCGCCAACGGCCGAGTAGAATTGTGGGAATCCCCAGCGGGATTACTTAAGTGTGCATACCAAGAAGATGCGAAGAGAAACCAGGGTATAACCCACATCCACCTGAACGGCGATCGGGTGATTGTGGCGCGTCTTAACGGTCGACTTGATTTCTACCGCTTAGAGACGTACTACAAGGGAAAGCAGATCGACTGGGGTTTTACCTCGGCTTATAGGCGCAGTATGTTTTACCTTTAAATATTATTTTAAAAGAGTCCTATAAGTAAAGACACCCCTTCTTAGCTCATGTGCGAACTGGATCCACTGGAAGCCTGGGATTAATGATGCAGCGCTGTCAGCAAGAAGCATCCCAAAAGACCACCAAGGAGGAAATGAAAATCACACTGGAGGGTGTAAGACTAGCGCATCAACAGCCAATCACCTGCATGCAGGTCGTTAACGACATGGTTTTCACTGGCAGCCAGGATCACACCCTCAAGGTGCGCATGAAACATTTTATTAACTAAACTTTCCTAACTCTAAATGGTCTCCACAGGTGTATTGTCTTAACAAGTCGGATGTTGAGTACACGCTCCATGGTCATTGTGGGCCCGTAACTTGTCTCTTCGTGGATCGCTGGCAACCGGGCACAGGGGGCTCTGGGTCCCAGGACGGTCTTCTCTGCGTATGGGATCTATTCACGGGCGCCTGCATGTATAATATCCAAGCTCACGACGGTGCCGTCAGCTGTCTGGCCTGTGCGCCCAGTTACGTTATCTCGCTAGGCACGGACGAGAGGATTTGCGTGTGGGAACGATTTCAGGGAAACCTGTTGACTACCATCAACATCTCAAATGCGTACTCGAGTCTACTGATGCTAACACCGTCACTATTGGTTACGAGCAAGATGGGTAAGGTCTTCTCCTCGATTGCCAATTTAAAGGATGTCGTAAATAATAAATTTACTTCCATCACAGGATCTCTTATTGTGTGGGATGTGCGCACTGGGCAGCCGGCTCGCGAGGTCAAACTGGACTTTGCAAACCTGCAGCTCTGTCCCAAAATAATGATGCTTGCCTGCGATTCGGTGGTTTGCGACTACGGAAATGAGATCCGCGTCGTCCGTTTTCCTATCGTGGCTGACAAGTGCCACTAAAGCGCAACAGTTTGATTTACCGTGGCTCGCTAGTACCTATGAATAAGTTGACTTAAGGCTCTCAAACGCCTCGAAGCCATTGACGCATTCACTATTTTATATATCTATATATACATATTTTAAGGGTCCGCAGCAACTTACAATTTTAACACAAGCTGCACGTATCTCTTGGCTGGAATTTTGTGTTAATTTTTGGACACTAAGTGTAACAGCTACGCTCCGATAGGTTAAGGAACTAAACTAAATGAATCAGATATATACACATATATTTTCGCGTAACTATATTAAGTATACAGTGTCTTAAAGCGCCTCAGCCTAACATAAAATTATAAAAATGATTAGATATTAAATTAAATACATTATTTATTAGAATCACCTACGCTTAACTTTCAGAACGAAAAGAAAAACTAAAAAAATAAATAATTGTGTTTTTAAATTTATTCTCCTTCATGTCCTTTAAATAGAACTTTGGTTTCAACGTTGCGCTGCGAGGTATATTTAATAAATACACAACTTTAAATATTTAAATAAACTTTTAAGGTCATTTTATGGTCTATGCGTGACGTGGGGTCACTAATCAAATTTTGAGAAGCACGATCTGGCCATGTACGTTCTCTCTCACTCCCTTGCGGAGTAACGGGTATCTGATAGGCGTAGGACTTGACTGAAGTGTTCCCTCTTGTTATACCAGTTACTTATATAATAAAAGGGTATACTAGGTTGGTATAAATTACGAATTATTTTTATTGAATTAGTTATAAATTAATTTTAGTTTACCGCGACCCCAAAACGCTTGTAATGGCGCACAAAGGCCGGTGCTGCTGTGGATTAAAAAAAAAAAAAGTTCAGAAAAATATTTGGCTAATTTTAAGGTTGCCCTAAACTCGAATGCAAAACTGAAAAATTTTGGTATTAAGGTATACCGGTTTCGAGATGTGCGTCAACTAGCGGCTAATTCTTTGGAATTCGGAACATGAGGATGTTTTTTATTTATTTATTTTTTTATTATTTGGAGGTCAATTACAAAAAAAAAAAAATGCCAATATGTTAAAAAAAGAAAGATCTAACCATATATGTACGACTTAAGTTTATAGGACTCAATAAAGTACATATATAAAATATGCAATTGAAAAATCGGCTCCCCAATTTTTAAGAAATATAATATATAATATCTATACTCGCAAAGCGTGTTCCAAAATGCACGCAAGACCACCTTAAAGGACATTTCAGGAAAATTATACACAGTTTTTGAGATAATGTATAATAGGTGGTCAAGCTATGAACCAGCCCATTTAAAAAAGAGCCCTTAAAATTCATTTTACTTTGTGGTTGTTCACAATGCCGTGCTTATAGGCTTATGTAGGCCTAATTAAGTAACTATCCTGAAAAAATATATCAAAAAATTATCCACAGTTTTCCAGGAAATCTAACAGTGGGAGGAGCATAAAGGTATTTAAGAATGCCCGCCTACTTTAGTACAAGTGCCACAAGTATAAGTTTTATTTATTTTTTGGCTGATAATTTCGCTTGTTGGACTTGCAATAGCATTGATTGGTTTATCTGATTGAAAGGCTCCTGGTCAATGTAGAGAATGGTTAAGACAATTAATTGTAATTACTAACTGCACCCATGCTTATGGCAGTATTTTATTATATTATTATTAAAAAGAAAAAGAGTTCCAAAAGTAGGGATTTTGACACTACCCTTTGGTTTCCATAAGATTCGAAAAAATAATTATTTTGTAATCAAAATATAACTTTCTGTTAACGTGTTCAAGAATAATTGTGCCTATGTATATTTGAAAATAAATGTTGTAAATACGTTTATATAATATAAAACGCATCTGATCGTATTCGGGAATGCATCTGGACACCACGAAGTGCTTCCTATGAATATATATATTATACATATGTATGTAAAGCAGGATTACAGTATATAAATACGATTATTTATTAACCACAATATTCCTATGTATTTCTGGAACATTTTTCGCCCACAGCCGTTTTCCTTTTTGTCCAGATATTTTGCTTCATATATTATAATTCCTAAACTTATACTCTGGGGAACGTAGAGGAATGGGCTAAAATCACCCCAGAACTCACCCAAAAATTAGTTGATCCGATGCCGAAAAGGCTTAAAATGGTTGTTAACAACAAGGGAGGTCACACAAAATTAAAAAAAAAATTTAATAGTTTTAAGCATAAGAAGAAATACCAATTTTACAATGCAATTTTACTGGTTGAAATAAGCTGTTGCGTTGTTTTGAGGTACATTTTCATTATTAATTCTTAAAAAATACTACAAAAATTGTTAAAAATAAAATAAGTTAGTAAATAATATCTTGAAACATAAAAGAAATTTGTGGCGCTTACATTTTTTTTTTTTAATTTTTAGTTCAGCTTTTACAGACCGTTGAAGTTTCAGATAGACGGTGGTTGAAATAAGCTGTAAGCCACTGTATGTAAAAGTAAACAAAAAAGGAAGCTAGCTTGGTCAAGATAGAGGGCGTTATGATCAAATGTACAAACAAAAATTATACAAAAATGAAGAAATATCACATTTTTCAAAAGTGTGGGCGTGTCAAATTTGGGCGGTTTGTGGTCGTGACAAAAAGTTTTTAAGCAGATCTATAGAAATTTACAAGATATATAAATTTATGAAAAAATATCACATTTTTCAAAATGTGGTCGTGTCAGTTACAGTCGTTAGAGTGACAACATTTGGACACTTGCGTTGCGCCTATGTCGCTGGATACTGCATGCTTATTCCCAACATTCTAACTTTTGTAGTTCCTGAGATCGAGGCGTTCGTTCATACAGGCAGACGGAAGAATATATGTACGTATGTATACTTTATATGGTCGGACACGGTTTCGTTCTGCCTGTTACATACTTTTCAAAGAAACAAGTATACCCTTTTATTCTTCTATAAAAATATAGTGTATTAACTCATTCATACATAGGTATGTACGTGTGTACATACGTAAGAGAACGGTATTTGCTTTGGCTTGAACAGCTGATTGGGACATGGTGTGAGTTTGATACGATTCTTGGAACTGTTAGTCCAGCGGTGAGAATAAGACTTGGATAATTGATATGGATTCTGAAGTACATGTATAAATGTGTAAATAACAAGTAAATACATGAACATATATACATAGGTGTAAGTTTAACCCGTGACAAAAACATTAATGTAGAATAAATAATATTTAAAGCGATCACTTGCTTGTTTGTACATATGTATGTATGTATTTACATTTTCAGCACCCGAAGAAATCTTTCAGACTAAAAGAGAGAGTGAGACCGGACCATACATAGGCACAGGTGTTGGTGCACTAAACTCGTTCGGCTTGTTTATAGCAGGAAAGATCGTACAATTGAACATAAGTATGTACATAAGTGTGTGGGTATGCACGGGGGTATACCCGGACCCGGAGGGTCTATCTTGGAAGGAAGAGCGGCATATTGAGAGTTCTCACAGCGTCAGAGAGAAGATAACGCACAACACTGAGCGCAACTAGAGAGGTGGTGGAGCAGTGGTGTCGAATAAAATCAAATGCGAGCGGCGGGCGGCATTCGGTGAATAAGCCTCCTTATCTCGTGAACTCTTTCTCTGAATTCTTTTTGGCTCTTTTAGTATTGCGGGAACAGTCACCCGAAACACAAGAGCGCCGCACAAAGCTCACAGTGAAAAGGCCAGTTTAAGATAAAAGCCAGCTCAACTCACGCAAACCGGACTGATAATGGGTTGGTGGAAAAAGAAAAGCGAGACGGATCGCAGCCAGTCCAGCCAGGCACTGGAGGTGCAGGACCCGCGCACACGCGTCAAGACCACGAGTGCAGCTACGGAGACGACCAACACGGCCGTGCAAAACTCGACCATAACGAACAGCAACAAGCAGACGGTTACCTTTCTCACCACCCGCCAGACGGTGACGCACACGCAGCGGGCGCAGATCACGGAAACCACAACGCGACGCACCCCCAGTCAGGCGGAGTTAGAGGCTCTCTTCGCCCAGATGCGAATGGGCGGCGAGGGACCCATTGGCTCCACCACCACGACTACCACCTCCTCACGCTCCCGACCGCCCAGCTTAAACGGAGTCTCCTTGCGCTCCACACAGCCCTTCAAGGCCACGGCAAGCAATGCCAGCAAACGATCAAGCACCTTGATCAAGACCGAGCAGACGACAGTGACCAAAAAGAAAGGGAACACGGTCACCCAGCATCTGGAGACTCATCGAGTGGACCTGAAGGAAAGTCGCCCGAAGACCAACTGGGCGCCATTTGCGTCCACTGCAAACAGCGCGGCCTCCACCTACGTCTCACCTTATGCTCCGAAACCGAGCCTGGCCATAACATACACATCTCCATACGCCAAGACCCCAAAAACCACTAGCTCCACCTCCAGTCCCAGTTCCAGCTCCGTTTCGAGTGTGTTCAGTACTGCCAAACCATCATCATCTATCTCCTCTATTTCGAGCATTTTCAAGCCCGCCCCCAAGCAAGTTGAAAAACCGCTCACCTCTACTGCAACTCCCAAGTCCTTCATTAGTCTGGGATCATCAGGGGGCAATAAGCCAAAGGTTACTGCCGCCGCACTACCCGTAGATGCCCAGGTCACGGCCCCTTCAACGAGCTTCGGTACCTCGAAGTCAAGTCAAGTCAAGACCAAGCGCAAGCTGAAGCCCGCCGTGGTGTATATTTTCAACCACGAGCGGTTCGATGACAAGAACAAATTTCGAAAGGGCAGTGCCCAGGATGTGAAGGTCTTGCGTGCCACCTTTGAGCAGCTGAAGTGCAAAGTGGAGGTTATTACAGACGCAACCCTGGCTACTATCAAAAGGACAGTGCGAATGTGTAAGTAGATAAGTGTAGTTTCTTGGATTGATCATAACCCTACATTTTTCAGTGGAAACCAAGGACTTTGAGGACAAGAGCGCAATCGTCCTCGTGATGCTCAGTCACGGAACGCGCCACGACCAACTTGAGGCAAAGGATGGCGGCTACTCCTTGGAATATGATGTGGTTTTTCCCATTCTGCGCAATCGGACGCTTAAGGACAAGCCCAAGCTACTTTTTGTTCAGGCTTGCAAGGGCGCCAACGAACCGGGGGGCTTTATGACCGATGCCGCCCAGCCCAATGGGTCTCCAAATGAGATCCTCAAGTGCTACAGCACGTACGAGGGATATGTATCTTACCGCACGGAGGACGGAACTCCTTTTATTCAGACGCTGTGTGAGGCTCTCAATCGATCGGGGAAGACTTCGGACATCGACACCATAATGACGGATGTGCGTCGAGTGGTTAAAATGCAAACCAAGTAAGGACCCGTAAATGTTTATATCATCCGATAAATAATTATTAAACTTTATTTTAGTGACGGCCAAATTCCATCTGTTACTAGCACCCTTACCTCTAAGTACGTTTTTGGAGACTACATCTGATCAAAGATTTACACGGAAGACACGAAATAAAATGTTAAGAATTAATATAAATGGCACATATGTATACAAGAAATAGAATTTTATTATTCCAAACGAGTCCATTATATGTAGGGATTAAAATTTAAAATATATTTTAAATCAAAATATGTTTATTAGTCAATTATTACATGCGTTGCATATTCATTATCAAAATGATCAAAAGTTATAGAACTCAACACAGTCAAGTGCCTCGACTTTTAGATATCCATTACACAACTAAGGGGAGTGAGATGGAGATTTCACATGAGCGCCGCCTAGCGTCGATTACACAGAGTTTATTTAAACGTCTTTGAAATGAAAAAATGTAAACACATTTTTTAAAAGGGGGATGGGGCTGTGGAATAGTTCAAACGAAAGTTATTTTTGGTAACAGGTCAAAGATTATGGGAAAAATTGTATTTTTTAATATTTGTGGGTTTCTTGTAACCACTGTAACGCATTCTGTAAAAATGTAAAACTGTGTAGGTTAAAATAAATCCTTAATATCAAACCAATATCCCTTTTCTACCAATACATATTGTATGACCGAATGCAAACGCTATTTTAGTGGCATGGAACCATTTAAATTATAAAATAAGCTAAACGAATAAATACAATTTTCAACGGAATTTCAAAATAGGTGGGCTTTTTTGTAGTTGATATTTATCGGTAATATATAAATATATATAATGTTATTTTAATACAATAGGAGGGCAATTACAATAGTTAAGTAATCGAATGACTTTTTGGTGATCGAATGAAAAGTAGAGTACAGGAACCATTTAATTAATGCAAAATTGCTCTTTGATGTTTTAATTACGAAGAGCAATATTCCATATTCCAATATACTCAGTATATATACCTTTTACTCGTAGAGTGAAAGGATATTAAGGCTATAAAGTATATAGATTTTTTATCAAGATCACTAGCCGAGTCTTTTACATTTTATTTTGGATTATTCTATCTAGTAGTCTTCCTATTAGCTGCTTGACATGTATTTGATAGTCCGTCCAGGAACTCAACTATAGCGTTATTTATTGTTAAAAAAGAAGGTAGGCCATTACACAGTCTGCTAGGAGACTCGCATAACTGTTGAGGTAGCAAATTCAAAATTAGACAATGTAAGATAAATTATTATTAAATAAGTTAGCTTCATTATGTAAATACTTAAAGTATTTCCATTATCTTCACTGTTCGGAAGTCGAATAAAATTTTGTATAGCATTGCTCAACAGTACACTTTGATGGTGTTACAAACATTGCATTGTATTGTATTTTAGGAATGCCTTTAGTTATCTTTCATATGACTGGTGATGAAATAAGTTTATTAAATATGAATTTTGAATTTTACTTAATTGCAACCCAAAATCAAAGAACCTTTTATATTTACTGTGTCCATTTCCGTGTGTTATATATATTACGCCCATAATAGTTAGTCTTTAAAGCTTGAAGAATAATTACATATAGCGACACTATGAAATAATCTTATTTATATTACTTTTTTATTATTATATTTAACACTTTCATCCAGACTGGGAATCGTTTATGATTATTTACATTACATTTTGATTTGGAATATATTTTCAATATAGTTCCACCTGCAGTTCGAAGGGATAGTCCCTTGAACTAAGACTCTGCCTGAAGAGTTGTGTGTGCTGCCAAGCCACATCGCCCTTACCACCCGTAAGCTTAGCCACTATCCGGAATCCAGTGGCATTTTCAACCGAAGCGCTTCCGTCGGTGGCATCGACAGTAACGCTGATTTTTCCGTCGCCAAAAGTTTTTGTATCGAAAACTAAGGTGTAGGACTTAACCTTTAAATTGGTCTTGCTGAAATCAAATTTCCAAACAATTTCCCCACAATCGGTATCCTCCAATCTAGCCAAGTATGCCATTTTCCAATCGCGCTCCACTTTCCGAAATATGTTTTTCGAGGAAAATTGCGCTTTTTGCCAAGTCTTATAGGTATCCAAAATAGTGACGAGACCTCCGTCTGTGGACATAAAAGTTAATAACAATCTTTATGCTATGAATAAACTCATTACTCACCTTTGGCATATCGTTCGTATGTGTCGGTGGCACAGCTGTACCGCAAATTAAGTTGCTTTTTTTGAAGTTCGGCTGCATTCAGATTGAAAACGAATATCTGTAAATACATAGGTCACAAACGGCTGGCAGCGCATCACAGGTCACTCACATTGGTAAAAGTGTGCTCTCCACGTGACTGTCGCCAAGAAAGACTTCCCGAACTGCGGCCCTTCAGCTCGTTTTCTGTCGGCTTACTAAACAGGCAACGGGATCAACTCTAATTTCGAATTGGTTTCTGTAAATGCTTACCGTTCTAGCGTCAAGCCAATGACCTCGTACATATTGCGCTGGCTGAGGAATAACTTTCGATCGGCGGTGCAATTTCGCCGCCGCTTGGCTCGAATCGCCTCCAGCGTATGCACCATTTCTTCTTCCCCGCACAGCTTTCGTAATTGCAGAATGTTTTGGTGGTCATTCGTGTAGCGCCAAGTCACATCTTGTATGTCGTCCCTCGAGTAGGCAAGAATGTAGTCGATGTGACGTTTCCAGCCATGTTGATACATCAGCGGAGAATCTACCACGTTCTCGGAGGGGTCAACATGCAGCCAGCGCATCTGGGCCTCGGAGTACACCTCGGTCCAGACGTGATCAAAGTGGGAGTGCACAATGCGGGCGTCGTAGTCGAGGGCGCGACAAAGGAATGTGAAGCAATTGGCATATTCTCCGCAACGGCCCTTCCTGGAAACGAGGAGCTGGGAGATGTCGTTATAGCGGTAGAACTTGCTCTCTTGGCCGCAGCAGACGGTGACCTCGACTCTTATATCACCTTCCCGTTGCGTACGACGCAGCTTACTCTCTTCATTTCCACACACGCGGCAAGGTATATTGTTCACCCATTGGAAGAACTGCGTGTTGAACCAGTTTACCAGCTCCACGAGCAGCAAGTCGCGAACACATGGCTCCTTCTCCTGCCGCTGACCCGACGCAATTTGATCTTGGATGTCAATCAGTTTCTCACTTGCCGTTTCGGTAAGCTCTTCCACCGGAATCAAAGTGCGGCCAGCAGCCAGTAGCAGCTCATCCTCGTACTGCATGACTGCATCGGAATACAGTTCTAGCGATTGCAGAAAGTGGTTATTGGAGCGCTGAAAATAAGTCTCCACATAAGAATACAGCGGTCTATCTTGTTCGATGGCTCGCATACCAATACACGGGGGAAGGCGATTCTATGGCGATACTCCACCGAAGGCTTGATGAACAAGGGCGAGGGCGTGGTGCTGGTGGTGCTTTGTTGAGGAGGACCTATTAAAATCCAAGACTTTATGACTAGGATGCCAGTCTCGCTCCCCAAGGACAAGCTTACTTTTGGACACTGTGCCGTTTAGCCAGGCATTGCGTCTTTCGCTCAGCGCATCTCGGTACTTCTGCACCTGCTGCAAGGACACATCGGTGGGCAAGGTGAAGGCGTTGGATCCGGTCACGCGTACAAAGCCAATGGCTTCCAGTAGACTCTCGCAACCGGCCAAGGAGAGTAGCTTTTCTTTAATGGCTTTGTTTTCCAGCCGTATGGTGCGGAACATCGAGTTCTCCGGCTGCGCCAAGATGTTCTCCAGCAGCACTAACAGAATGCGCACCGCCTCCAGGTAAGCTTCCTTTAGCCCTTGCTCCTGCTGCTGCTGACCAGAGGAACGGGTCTTCGGTTCGATCTGGTGCACGCATTCTAAGTTGATGTCCACCATGTTGATGACTAGCTAGCTGCCTCCTATCAGATTGGATTCGCTGGTAGTAGGTGGTCGGTCGGGGGGTGACAATCAGACAGACACAAAGGGTTATGGTGTTGGAAAACGCGATTTATTCAGCGGAGTGCGAGCGATAACAGAATCGGTTATTTAAGGTTGAGATATTTCTATAGACGATTAAAAAAAAACTCCGAAATCGCAGCCACTTTACAAATGCTTTAAATTAGGAATAAGTTACTTAAAAATATTACACGAAAACGTTTAAAATTGTATACATTTCTCAATTAATTTTAGGAGCTTGAAACGAAATCTATTTTGGACTAACATTGGGAAATATACAAAACATTTAACCAAGAATTTTGTTTTGTTTTTTTTTTTGCGTCAAAATAGCGCCGATGGTTTAGCGGCGAATGAAAAATGTTGGAACGTGGAACTTGGAACATTTTCTATTTATTCGTTATTTGGGCGCGTAGTCTAACAATTTTGAAATGCAAAAATGTTAAGAAAAGAAAGATTGATGTATCTATCACATGGAAGAAATTAAATTATATAATAAAATTATTGGAAAAGTAATGTAAGTAAAATAATAACATATAGAATGCACACTCTTTGAGGAATACCACCACTTGCAGAAAGTATTCCAAAATTCGCGCTTAACGTATCAAATTATGTCGGTGTTCACAGAGCATTGAACTGGAATGCCGTGTTTAACTGGTTATGAAGGCCTAACTAAGCAAGAATCATGAAAGAAGTTATTAAAATATTATGCACAGTTTTTCGAAAATGTGCCCAATAGTAGGAACGCCCCTATGGTTTTGAAAATGCCGCCAACGTAACAGGGAATCCATGCAATGAACCACCGTGTAACAATAACATTTTGACACTAACTTGCTAAATATATTACACCGTTTACAGACCTAGTTTCAAGTGGCATTTTTATACCGGTTACGCTTACAGAAAAGGGTATAATAGATCCGTTAAAAGTATGTAATGGGTAAAAGGAAGCGTTTCCGACCATATAAAGTATATATATTCTTGATCAGGATCAATTGCCGATCTGGCCATGTCCGTCCATATTTTATTTTAGTCTTGTAAGTTTCTATCGATTTGCAAATCAAATTTCTATTGATTTGCCAAACAAATTTTTGTCACGCCCACTCTATTTTAATATGGGTTATGGTTATTTTATCGATGATAAGAATAAAATGCCCAGGAAGGTACATCCGAAAAATGTAATATTTTTCAAACCTTGTGGTTGGTTATTCGGCAAGTGAATCTTGTCCACCCAGAACAATCTTTTACCCCTCTCACTTGTGGTGAGGTTATAAAGGCGAGGCCAAAAAATCATTCCTTAAAACAGTTGATGAGGAAATGTCAAATAAAATACTGTCAGCGATTATAATTGAGGAAATGTCAAATCAAATACTGTCAGCAATTAACATACGGAAGCCCTTCACCCTTCCTTCAAAACACTTCGATCCCTCTTTGCGCACTTTAGTACAGCATATTTAGTAACATTTTTCAGTTTGTGGGCGTTAGAGTCGGTATGTTTCACATATGTAGTTGTGAAACGAACTTGACAGAAGTGATTCATTTTAACTTTCTAGCTTTAATAGTTCATGAGATCTCGACGTCCATACACACAGAACGACATGGCCAGATCGCCTCGGCTAATGATCCTGATCATTAGACCCTATTAGGGTCCTTCTACCTATTTCTGTCCCACATCGGAAAATATTTTGAGCCTCTAGGTCACTACATCATACAAAAAAATGATGCGTTATAGGTAAACTAGGTATTTGGAAATTTAATCTAAATCGTTAGCTAACACAAGTGCTAAGCAAATCACATTTACCGATTTTTATGTTCTCAAAATCCTACTTTATCCTATCCTGTTATTTTAAAATTATACCGCTGCTTATTCAGTAGGCGCTCGGCACCCCTCACCCCTCTTACCACCCGGTCATCACGGTGACAGTAAGTGATTGTCTAAAATGGATTCATTATTTAAAGAAATATAATGCTGTAGGTACCCAACACATATCAAACAAGAGAGAAAGCTATAGTCGAGTTCCACGACTATTATATAATATATACGACTATTGTATACTCACCTAGTGGAAGGGCGAACGAGACATTTAAAATAGCAAACTAGCAAGCATTGGAAAAATATCAACACATTATTTAAAAGTGTGGGCGTGGCAGTTTTGAGCGGTTTGTGGGCCTTAGAGTGGGCGTGGCAACGATTAGAAACAAACTTGCGCAGCATCTATGTCTCTGGAAGCTGTATGCTTAATCTCATTTATAGTTCGACTCGGCTATTGATCCTAATCAAGAATATATATACTTTATTTCGGAAATGCTCACATTTGTCTGTCATACTTTTCAACGAATCTAGTATACCCTTTTACTCTACGAGTAAAGGGTATAAATAAATAAATTACACTTTATTCAGAAATATACTAAATTTCAACCTTTTTGAGATACCGTGCAACTTGGAAATCGTTCTGTAAACGGCGTAATGCATTTTCATGTTAGCGTCGAATGTTATTGTCATACAGTGGTTCGTGACATGGATTTCCCTGTGGTGCAAGGACTGTAATTGAAGCCATTTTTGAATTCATTACTCCTACTGGCTATGCGAATTTTGGGAAAACTATATCCTTGTAATACATTTTTCCAGGGTCCTTGCTTGGTTAGGCCCTCATAAGCGTATCCCGGATCATACTCTGTGAACAACGACAATGTTAACTTGATTAAAAATGTTCTTTTATAGGTTGGCCAACTGTTACGCCATTTTCTCAAAATTGTTTTATTATAACTACAATATACTGTAAGCTTAATGGTATATTGATAGATAGATCTTTTTTTTCCTTGCATATTTCATTTTTAATTTATTGATTACACCCCAAAATACGAATGAATAAATATTTAAAAAACAAAAGGCCGCGTGTTTCATATCCACCGTTTCTAACTCATCGACGATGCTATGACACACATTTTTTAGTGAATGCTTGAATGATTCACTTCAATCGCGAAACAGCCCATAGTTTTATGCCATGTAAGGTCACACTACTTTTCAACCACTTTACCTCGAAAAAGTAGGCGTCGGTCATTTCAATCTTAAAGCGTCTGTCATCGTGCTAAGTGTGCGGAGCGGATAACTAGAAAGTACTCTTACATATATTCTTGAAAGGTAAGACTCCCAACACTTTTTTCGTCTGGGCGGTCACTAGTCCTTTGTTGGGAGGGGGCTGTCCTGTCTGCGGTCTTTTCCGCGTTAGCCGCTGTCCTGTCTCCTTGTTTCTAGTGTACAAATCGAGATTTCTTTTCTTTTAAAGGTCCAAATAAAATTTCTGCAAAATGTGTGACGAAGAGGTTGCAGCTTTAGTGGTCGACAACGGATCCGGCATGTGCAAAGCCGGCTTTGCCGGTGATGACGCACCGCGTGCAGTCTTTCCTTCCATTGTGGGCCGTCCACGTCACCAGGGCGTGATGGTAGGAATGGGCCAGAAGGACTCTTATGTCGGCGATGAGGCACAGAGCAAACGTGGTATCCTTACCCTGAAGTACCCCATCGAGCACGGTATCGTGACCAACTGGGACGACATGGAGAAGATCTGGCATCACACCTTCTACAACGAGCTTCGTGTCGCCCCAGAGGAGCACCCCGTCTTGCTTACCGAGGCTCCTTTGAACCCCAAAGCTAACCGCGAGAAGATGACGCAGATTATGTTTGAAACCTTCAACACTCCGGCCATGTATGTTGCCATTCAGGCGGTGCTGTCTTTGTACGCCTCCGGCCGCACCACCGGTATCGTGCTGGACTCCGGCGACGGTGTCTCCCACACTGTGCCCATTTATGAGGGATACGCCCTGCCGCACGCCATTCTCCGTTTGGATCTAGCCGGTCGCGATTTAACCGACTACCTGATGAAGATTCTCACTGAGCGCGGGTACAGCTTCACCACCACCGCCGAGCGTGAAATTGTGCGCGACATCAAGGAGAAGCTGTGCTACGTGGCTTTGGACTTCGAGCAGGAAATGGCCACGGCCGCTTCTAGCTCGTCCCTGGAGAAGTCGTACGAGTTGCCCGACGGACAAGTCATCACCATTGGAAATGAGCGCTTCCGCTGTCCCGAGTCGCTCTTCCAGCCCTCGTTCCTAGGCATGGAGGCCTGTGGCATTCACGAGACCACCTACAACTCAATCATGAAGTGTGACGTCGACATCCGCAAAGATCTGTACGCCAACACTGTGCTGTCCGGCGGCACCACCATGTACCCGGGAATAGCTGACCGCATGCAGAAGGAAATCACTGCATTGGCTCCGTCCACCATGAAGATTAAGATTGTCGCCCCGCCAGAACGCAAGTACTCTGTTTGGATCGGTGGCTCCATCCTGGCTTCGCTGTCCACTTTCCAGCAGATGTGGATCTCGAAGCAGGAGTACGACGAGTCTGGCCCATCCATTGTCCACCGCAAGTGCTTCTAAGCAGGAGTCGGGCTGGGCGTGGTCGTTCCTCATCGAACACACCCATTGCAGCGAAGAATGGGAGTCAGAAGTATTGGGCATGAGTACATTAATACCGGGAGCAGGCGCACAACACTTCCGCTCCTTTCGGAAGAATGCATTCCATTTACTTTTATACACAATTGTACACGACGCATAAGCAAACCATGTTGTGTTCTATTCGAAATTCAAGTTCATATGCACATAAGCATTTATAAAACTGATTCATGTTTGGCATTTCCATTAATTCCATGCATTCCTACATATGTATTAAAAGCAAACTTACCATACCATTAAAATACTTGTAACCGCTTCTTAATAATAAAGCGACGAAAAGAACTGAAAATTCCTTTTGTCTTAATTCCTTTTTTGCAAAGAATCTAGCACGAAAAAGGGGCGATCGGAAGCCGTGATATTCCGATGGCTATGTGCTCATTCCAGTGGCATGCAGTGACGGGGGCGTCAGATAAAACGCTAACCAACAAGGCATGCATTTCAGGCCTCGTTTTGCAGGAAGTGCCTTGATAACGAGCCAATTGCTTGGCATACGGTTTCCGTCGAATGGGATATACATATGAGTATAGTTTGTGATTCATATACATATGTGATTCAGTTTGGACTCGCTCCGCTTATCACCCGACCCCACCCAGCCTTAGCGGTATTTTTACGTTGATTGATTGCGAGTGAAGCAAGTGAAACCCCAAAAACAGCTCCATCAGCGTTACCTTATAAGGAAATAGTGGAGGAATACCACACTCGCACTGGGCACTGCAAATCGAGACAAAAACAAAGCCACATTGTTGATTCACTCACGACTTTTCGGACTAGTTGTCGTTGTCATCAATTGGCATTGTTTGCCCGATTTTGTTGATAGGTGGGGTCCGGCGCGCCCCATACGATTATCACTTGGGGGTTGAAACGCAGAGAA